TGGGGGACACGGGTGTAATAAAAATAAGTGCACGTTACCTTGCAGCGGTCCCTCTGGACCAAGGGGTGCGGGGCCACCCGCGGCAAAGCAACAATAGACGCGCCAGAGGCAGAGTAGAAGAACGGAGTTTCTCATCCTTCCCGCCACACCCCCTTCAGCGAAACAGGACTTCACAAAAAAAAAAAAAAAACCACAAAGAAAAACCACCTCTCGGGCTCTCGGGTTTTCCACCAGTCCGAGTCTGTAAGACCCTAAGTAGGCACCTTCTCTCGACCAGAAATTGGTGGCCTTGGACAGCTGAAGGCGGGGAAGGTGGAAAATGAAAACTTAACTAAGTTGAGCGGCCGGGCGGGGGAGTGTGAAGAGGCTTGAACGAGAACCAGAACCAGATCTGCCCTCCCGCGTGAGGCCGTCCGGAGAAGTAAGCGCTCGCCACTGTCACACGGCAAACTCCCAGAGGTAGGTTTTTTAAACTACCGGAGTCATGTGATCCATCGCCAGATGGTGATTTGCATAATTTATTCCCCTCCGGGGACTCTGATTGGTCACACCTTCGCCGACGCCAGACCCTAGACTCTCCAAAGTTTGAATGAAAGCGCCTCACACCCACCACGTGGACGCTCCGCACGCTCAGCCTTGCGTTCGCCCCCACCTGCTCCGCGGGCTCTGCAGACGGCCTCGCTCCCCACTTCCTCCTAGTGCCCACTCCCGGACCCCAGATTCTTCTCTCTCCGCTGCCACCCTAGGGGGTACACTGCCCGATACCCTGTGCCCGCTGAGGACACGATCCCTGAGGAAGGGAGGTTATCCTCTCCAAAGTGCAAAGCCACCCCCACACCCGGAATGATCTCTCTGTACCCCAGTCCAAGGGTCCGGATGAGGAGAGCCACCTGATTGCCCCCCTTTAGTCCTTCTCTTCTTCCTTCACTCCCGCCCAGCGAGGCCCCCAGCAGGTGCATACAAGCGTAATAGGACAATAACCGGGCAGAGCCGAGGGACTGGGGACTGTGGCCGCGGCGTCAGGATCACACACACACACTTCTCGGAGTCTTCGCTCCGCCACCAGTTGCAAAACTCGGAGCAAGCCACTCAGCTTCTCCAAGGCGGTTGCTTGGTCCCCAATACCCGTGGTAACAGTTCCTGCCACTTAGGGGCGTTGGAGGAAATTAGGAGATAATGCATATAGTACAGCGCGCCTAGTGCGGCGCCTGCCACGTGGTAAGCTCTCTCTTACCTTGTGGGGTGGAGTACTGGAGGGATACCAGGCGACACTGCCCCAAAAGAACAGTGAGCTGAACTTGGAGGTCTCGGACGCGTGACCAGCGCCGAGTCTCGGCAGACGCTTCCAACTACCTGTAGAGTGGAATTAAGCAGCTTCTTGCTCTCATCATTTTCCCCTCCTCTCCTTCCCTTTATTGATCCGCGTCCCTGCTCCTCCCTCGGGTCTTGGGTCCTGGCTCCCGCCCAGCCTGCTGGACCCCAGGACCGAGGGTGGAGAGCGTGGAGAGCGCCGGAGAGCCTGTCCGGGAGTCCGCGTCTGGCGCAGGGAAGCCGGAGCTGAGCCCCCGGCTCCCGAAGGGCGGCGGCCGGGAGAACTGGAGGGCGGCTGCCTCATCAACCGTTGGGGACGCGGAGGCAGTGGGAGAGGTAGAAAGTGCGGCCGCAGGGTTGCGCACCGCCATCGCCCCGCGTTCCTGCCACCCCGAGCTGGCTCTGCAAGACTGCACTTTTGGCCACGAGTAACCCCGCCGTCGCCGAGAACCCGTCCCACTCCTGCCTGGGGAGGAAAACCGCCCCAGCAGCTCCGCGTTCCTTCCTGCCTGATGTCGGCGCCCCAGCCTGGAAGACCTGTGTGGGGAAACCAGTCCAGAGAAGCAGGTCCTGTGTCCGAATTATCCTCCTACTTTTGTTAGTCCAGCTGCCAGTGGCGCACGCTTTGTCCCTCCCCTGTGCTATAATTCATTAACAAGAGGCAGGCTGGCTTTATTTTTTGAGTCTAAAACTCAGTGGGATAGTAAAGGGCACCGCCAGATATGTGGCTTCTGCCCCTCTCCTGCTCTCCTTTACTGGCAAACTACACAGCTATAGTCCGACATTATCTCCAGTTTATAGGTGGGGAAACTGAGTTATGAGGACAGTCTGCAGGTTTGAAGGAAATCTTGTTCACCAGGTCTCTCTTCTGCTCTAGGTTTGCTTTGGCCAGTTGACCTCTAAACACAAGCCCTTAGGTGCAATGTCTCTATCTCATCTGCTGCTGAGGCAGTGGGTCCCTAGGAGTCAAAATTCCCCTTCTCTGTTCTGAGTTGCTCAAAGCTATAGTCCCCAGAAGCTTAACAAGACAGTGTGAAGGATGTGTGTTGGTTAATGAGACCCCCTACAGAACCTAGGTATTCCTGCAAAGTTGGTTATCTTGCTGGGGATAAAAAACAGATTCAACAAAAGCAACATCCGTTTTTGGTTGTTTTTTTTTTTACTGCCAAGGTTATGAAACCATTTCGGTTTTATTGCTGGTTGGTTAGAGTGCCCTCCTGTGTCTCTATATTAAAATATCATGTGAGGGCCAGCCGAGTGGCACGATGGTTAAGAACTGGCTTAGGATGCCAGAGGGCCCGGGTTCGGAGCCCACATATGAGGGCCAGTGACACTGCCCTCCACAGCTAAGATGTTGAACAACAGCTCAACCTGGAGCTGGGCTGCCGTGAGTCACCAGCGANTCATTTCGCTTGAAGTCATAGCACCTATCAATGATGTGAAGTGAGGACTTACTGCAGTTCCTACCACACATCAGGAACAAATATTCAAAGAGGCAGGGTATTTTGACCAATGTTACCCAGTCGGTCAATTCCAGAATCATGGCTGGAGCTAAATTTCCCAACGCCCTCATTAGTGCTTTGTTCACTAAATGAGAGAAATGGACAAGGCTTTCCTGGAAAGGCCATGGACAGGCACAAAGGCCCAGAGGCACAAAGAGAGAGGGAACAAGCCTAGCTAGCTGGTACAGTGGGAGAAAAGCCAAGAAAGTAAGGGCCTGCTCCCATTCGCCATAGGACACACACACACACACACAGTTTTCCTCAAATTACACTTCTGCTGAGAGAGCATGACCAGCAGCAAGCAAGGCATCAATCATGCTTTAGCTGAACCAGGATTAGGAAGGACAGTTTTGACCTATAGGCCCTTGGCCCCCCAGAGGAATCCAGCTCCAAACCCATTCAGCCAGGTTAATATTATGATATAAAAGCTTCCACTTGGGTCTATCTGACTTTATGTCAGAAACTCATAGAGAAAGTAATAGTAATTCTAGTCAGGAAAATAAATAAATAAATAAATACAAGGAGCTTTATTATCTATGCGAAGTTACACGCCGTGTCCCAGAACTCATAAAGTTTGGCACGATTTCAGGTACACACTAAAGAATTATCAGTGAGACAAGGAGTTTGTGCTAGAGGCAGTAAATAGTGGGGTGAGGTGTTTCCTTCATCTCATTGGGCTGGGGCTTCCAAATGGAGGACTCTCTGCCTTCCTGTGATCAGCTTGGATACACTACAACTGAAAGCTGTTACAACCCCAGCTGATGTGAACAGGAAAGAATTGAGTGTGACCTGCCAAGAAATACTGGACAGCATGAGGCCTCTGCTTTTTCTTCCCTGGTTGGTCAGTCTCCTTAGCTGCAGAGTTGGGATAGGAACTTTCTAAGAAAAGTTTCTTTTTTGTTCTTCAATCTAGTTGTGGAGGACGTTGCGTCACTGGCCCAAGTTGGCACCATCATTGCGCTCTTCCCGGGTGAGGCAGTCGCTCACTGGCCATTGGATGGCTGCTCACTGCGGCTCACGGCAGCTCACGAAAGCTCACGCCAGCTGCCAGCCAGCTCCACTGCAGCCTACACTGTCGCCAGTGACTCACAGCAGCCCAGCTCCAGGTTGAGCTGTTGTTCAGCATCTTAGCTGCAGAGGGCAGTGTCACTGGCCNGCTAAATTAAATTAGTGTCCAGTGCCCTCAAGTGGCTCTTTAATTCTGCCAGCAATCAACTATATTTCTTAAACCATTTACTCCTCCTACTCCTTCTACACAACCCTGTCTCATCTTCTCCTCTCCCCTCAGACCTCCAACATCGCTCCATCCTCATGCTCAGCTGATGGCCTGACTTCCTATTTGACTGGGAAAATAAAATCAATCAGAACAGAGCATCCATGGGCTCCCACTGTCATACTCCTCCATCCATGTGCATCTGTGTCCATGTCCTCAGCCTCCCTTCCTGTTACTAAGGATGAACTAACTGTCTGTGCATCTAAGTACCTCCCCCACCTATTTACATACCAGACAGATTCCATCCCCCTTTCACACACAGACATCACTCCAACAATTTCTCCCTATCTATTGGACCATTGCCATTAGCATACAAACACAACGCTATGATATCTGCTTCAAAAACAAACAAACAAACAAAAAACCAGATTTCATTGACTCCATGTCCCTCTCCAGACTCACCTTATTTCTCTGCTACCCTTCACAGTAAAATTTCTTTAAGGAGTTCTCTGTGCTTCCTGATTCCAGTCCCTGTTTTTCTGTTCCCTCTGGAGCTCCACCACGTCACCACAACCCCTCCCATCAAGATCACCAATGACCCCCCACACAGCAGGCCCATTCTCAGCCCCGCTCTTACCCAGACACACTAGTCACTCCCTCCTCATTGAACACTCATTTGGTTTTCCTCCTCACCCTGGGGTTCATCTATGAACTTCTACTTTTTGTTTATCTAAAATCACTCCCTTGGGCGGCCGGGTGGCTCTGTTGGTTAGAGCGTGAGCTCTGAGCAGCAAGGTTGCCAGTTCGATTCCCACATGGGATGGTAGGCTGCACCCCCCCACAACTAGACGGCAACTGGATTTGGAGCTTGAGCTGCGCCTTCCATGGCTAGATTGAAGGACAACCACTTGACTTGGAGCTAATGGGTCCTGGAAAAAACACACTGTTATCCAATAAAAATTTAAAAAATAAAATCACTCCCTTGATAATCTCATCTACTCTCATGCCTTCAAAGACATCTATATGTGATTCTCAAAAAAAAATAAATAAAAAATAAAATTATATATNGCCGTCCAGAAGCCGGCGACTGATCTGCCTCACCTGGGAAGAGCGCAATGATGGTGCCAACTTGGGCCAGTGAAGCAACGTCCTCCACAACTAGACAGAAGAACAAAACGGCAGCAACTTGTCTGTTCCCCTTCCCCCAATTCCCCAGTAATAAATAAATAAATAAATAAATAAATAAATAAATAAATAAATAAGAAAATATCATGTGAGACTTTACAAAGGACATAATAACATTACAATCGCAGCATTAAAATCATGTGTAACATCAACTGCTTGTTATTCATCATGCTTTCCAGAAGAAGCACAAGGAGCTCTGGGGAGCCTCCTGTGTGAAGTCCTTGC